TGTATCGTTTAATCGGAAATGCTATGAAATATAGGTGAATGAAAACTGCCTTCGTGCGTGTTGCACATCCAGTTTGAATCTTGGTTTAATTTGCACGATTCCGTCTTGTGTGAGAATCTACAGGTCGGTGAGATTCATCAAGATATTCCTTAAAGAAAGCGACCAATTCCTTCAAGTTAACCCCACTCAACTGAAAGCTAGGTAGGATGATGGTAGAATGCTGATAGAATAAGGTTCTTCGAGGGAGATTCGAATACACAAATGGGGCACAAGAGCATGTTGCGTAGACCGTAGCCTTCATGGCCTGGTGGCCATAGCCAAGTCAGTAACGACAATAATGTTAAAATAGTTGAGCTGTGACACCATTTTGGTGCTTATGCGCCACGCAGCTTGGAGTCGAAACGTGGATTCAGGCATTACAGGACTGTTCGAAAGGATGGGGTTGGCTCCGAACCTCGGATTTTTCGGTTGGCAGTGCTCTGAGTTAACTAATCGACTCCAAGTTCCCGTGGTGCCTTATGGCCTTGCCCTCAGTGGATGGAGCATACAGGAACGAGAGTGACTCATGGGAATCAAGATGCGTCTCACTTCCGCCGGGGAAATATGAAACCTCAGTTGTAGCATTGCTTTCAATGAACAAAGTTGGTGGGTTCTCCGAACTCAAATAGTGAGTTTGATCCTGTTAAATTTCAGGAACTTTTGGAAAGTCGTCAACAAACATTGTGCTCATGTGTCACAGATTCACTGATTCACGGATTTATGCACAGGATCGAGGCTATCGCCCAATTTTCCCGGGTCTGTTTTGTTCTTGTCGGTCAGTGGCTGTCGTTCACCTGAAAGGCACAAGTGAAATAAGGGTGTAGCATTGCTCTTTATGTACACAGCTCGGGACAGTATGCTCGCCAGCGCGAGGATTCGCATAAATAATTGTCTAATATTGCTTTAAACTGGGTTCCAGAAGGAGCGTGAACAACCGTCGGAGGAAGATCATTCCACGCAGCTAATACCCGAAATGAGAGAAAATTTTGTCTGAGGAATGTATGTGCTATGAGCTTGAAAATCTTCTTACCATGTCCCCGCCGGGTGTTTGCTGGGTCAACGCTAAAAAACCTGTTTGCCAAGCTTTGTTCAAACAGGGCGCAAGTAAGAATTAGGTCCCGTGGGAGGCGACAGTACTCCAGAGGAAAGATATCAAGCATCGCGAGACGCGCTTCGTAGTTCACGGATTTGAGGCCGGCAAACATTTTCGTAGCGGCCCGCTAAACACGCTCAATGGGGGTGACGTCTTTCGTGCGTCCTGAGTAGACAACTTGGTTGGCGTACTCCAGGAGCGGTCTGACGTAGGCCCCATAGAGTATTTGGAAGTCCATGCGAGTAATACGGGAGAAGGTGCGTCGGATCATCCGTAAAACGGCGAATGCCTTTTGGGCCGGTTTCTCATGGTGTAGTGCGAAGGACAAGTTTGAGGAGACCCAGATGCCTAAATCTTTTTTGGCATCTATCCTCATGATGTTTTCTGGTCCCTTTTCACCATGCATAACAAAGGCATTCGCTGAATCCCCTCCAAACGACACATGGACGCACTTTTCATCATTCAGAGGAAGGTGCCAGTCCGACGACCACTGCTGGGCAGCGTCTACATCCATTTGGAGGTCACTGGCATTGGTAATCCAGGATTTCAAGTCGTCCGCAAAAAGTAGACATGGACTCGCAAGAACATCTGGGAGGTCGTTGACGTAGATCAGAAACAGAATTGGTCCCAGGACGGAGCCTTGAGGAACTCCAATGGAGACCGGCGCTGGAGAATAGTAGGTCGAGTCCATTTACACTCGGAATGATCTGTCTGGTATGAACGCCCTGATCCAGCGAAGGATTTTTCCTTGAATCCCGTAAGACTCGAGTTTGTAAAGCAGTGGGACGTGTGGGTCCCTATCAAATGTTCTTGAGAAGTCAAAACATATGGCTTCCGATATGAGTCCTTCGTCCTTGACCTGGGATAAACTTTCTATAAACACGGGCACGTTTGTCACGCAAGAGCCGTTTGGGAGAAATCCATGTTGAGCTGGAGATATCAGATTGCTGGAATTAAGGTGATCTAGGATGGCTCGCTTCAGAATGCGTTCCATCACCTTGCACGGCACGCTAGTGAGGCTTATAGGCCTATAGCTG